GTATCAGTGGCATGAAAGATGGGAAGCACTTTGTTTTCCTGCATGTGTTTGGGTGGAACCAAAACCTCCCGAGTCCCTTTTTGTATTATCCAAAACTTAGACTTCCTCTATTGCTGGATTAAAAAACAAACAAACTTGGTCTTCCTCTATTTCTGGATTTTTAAAAAAAGCACAAACAATCCTTGCACACATGAGCTGTGAAATCTGATCACTCTTTCTACTTTAGACTTTCTTTGCTAAAATTAAACAGCACAACACCAAGGTTTCCTCTATAATCTTCATCGATGACACCAACTCCTGCATCTAAGAAGCGTTTTGCAGGCAAACCAGAACTACAGGTATACAGGTATGTTTCCATAACATCCAGAAGAAAGAGCTACTTTAAAATTTTTATTTTTCATCCTCACCTGAGGACACCCTTTCCATTAACTCTAGAGAGAGGGGAGAGGGGAGGGAGAGAGAGAGAAACACAATTGGTTGCCTCCCGCACTTGCCCCATCTGTGGATCAAACCCTAGACCCCTGGTGCATGGGACGACACTCAACCAACTGAGCCACACAGGCCAGGGCAAGAGGTATCTTAATTTTAGTTTTCACAAGGGTTTTCTCCGTAGGTGTGGTATTTTATAAGCATATAGGTCATAGCCTGTGGCCCACGCAGACCTCTTGCTCAGAACCATGGCATTCTCTGAGAACTGGGCAAAGAGGGGCCTCCTGCCGCCCTTCCTCACAAGCCGTCCTCCTTCACAAGCCGCCCACTTGTTGGGGGAGATGGCAACTGTTTCTTCAGAGTAGGGCATGGCAGAGCCGAACACGGGGGAGGTGGGAGCAGAGGGAACATCAGGGAGCAGGATGAGCCCAGCCACACCAGGTTCTTGCATGTATTTTCCATAAAGCTAAGTTACCTCCTACGAGAGGTAACTCAAAACTGAGGAAAATGATTATTTAATCACGGAATCCAATGCAGATTTATATGCTTCCTACTGTGATTAGTATTATTAGCCTAGACAGAGAAGATGTGAAGCTCAGCATAAACACTCCCTGATGCCTTTGTGCCTTATTTTACCACATCTTCCATTTTTTTTTCAATATGAAGAGGGACAAAAAGTAAATACCAGGATAAACAAGTCCCAAAAGATTCTATCTTTTGCCTGGAGAGAGAGATAGCAGCAACTCACTCGCAAAGATAAGTTCAAGGAACATGTTGAATGCCCATGGCACTTTGAATTAAGTAGCTACAGATTCCATGTACTACTCTGTCAGCTGGCTGTTGTGTTGATATTATAATAAAATGAGCATAGAATGTTCCAAAGTTAGAAGGCTACTCTGATTGGTTCTTGGATTTTGAACTATGCAAGCCCTTTTATAGTATATAAATTGGGTGGCCAAGAGCTGTGGGGGTATAATTGCAAGCTAAGTGCAGTGACCACAGCAAGCCAGGTCACAGAGATCTGTCTTAATAACAGAGATTTAGGACTTACTGTAGCTTCATGAGATAGTATAGCATGGTGGTGAAGAGTTCACTATTTGGGACATGAAGACGAGTTCCAAACCTTGTTCTAAGTGTTAGCAGTGGGACTTTGGGTCCTTATTTTACATCTCAAAGCCTCATATTTATCCAGTTGTTAGAAGGATTAAGTAATGTATAGAAAGTATTGCCAAATATATTTTCTAAAAAGTTGAAAACATGACTCTCATACAAATATAAAGTGAACACATGTTAAAGATTCACTTAACATGTTAATGAGGTAATTGGCTGCCGGTGGTGTGGCTGGTTCAAAGAGAATTGGAGAGAGCAATGCATTTATGGTGGCTGAAGGAAAAAGGTTTGAATTATCTCTAGGGGACAAATTTAATTGTCATCGCTATCAGCAGTTGGTTTCAAGTGGAGATAATTTTCCCCTCCAAGTGTCATTTGGTAATGTCTGGAGACATTTGTGTGTGTGTGTGTCTGTGAGTATATATTTTAAAAAAATTTTAAGTTGAATTTATTGGGGCGACATTGTTTAATAAAATGATATAGGTTTCAAGTGTACAATTCTATAATCATTTGTATTTGTATTGTGTGTTCACCACTCAAAGTCAAGTCTCCTTCTGTCACCATTTATCTCCACTTTATCCTCTTGCACCTCCTCCACCCCCTTTCCCTCTGATAATCACCATACTGTTGTCTGTGTCTGAGGTTTTTGCTTGTTTTTTGTTTTGTTTTGTTTTTTTAGCCATAGATTTCTGTTTTGAATCACCATACTGTTGTCTGTGTCTGAGGTTTTTGCTTTGTTTTGTTTTGTTTTGTTTTTTTAGCCATAGATTTCTGGGGTTTTTTTTGAAATATATTTTATTGATTTTTTACAGAGAGGAAGGGAGAGGGATAGAGAGTTAGAAACATCGATCAGCTGCCTCCTGCACACCTCCTACTGGGTCCCATTCAGAAAAGTTTCACAGTCACTGGTCTAGAGGAACTGACCCACTGTTTGTGAGCTATGCTACATCTATGCACTTCTTGGAGTGAGAATAACTCATTAAGATAAATTCCTGGCCACTGTCATGGATAACTATTTATTGTTCCACATATAATCATGTGTGCTAGAACAAACAAAACAACAGCTGTCACTGTACTAAAGTACATGTTATATCTCGGTTACGGTTCTTGAATAAGGTTCTTGGTTAATGTTATAATTCACCCAGGAAAAATACAGTGCATTCTATTTGTATTCTGTTACTTGCAGACTTTGGGAATAAATGTAATAGAAATTAATGGGGAATTTCAATTCTCATTTTACTAAATCTTCAGACTAGCAACAGTATTCTAAGGCTGTTGAGATTATAGGGATTCTGGAGCCAGAAATGCTGGTTTTTCCATCAAGAACTAAATAGAGTCCGAGTCTCATTCTTTTAATCCTTGCAGTAAATTTAAGCCTATCCTAAGATATCCAATGTCATTTGCAATTGGTAAAATAATCCTTGACTTCCAGGAATGAAATAGTTGGAGAATCAGAAGAATATCACAAAGGGTGGCTGGCTGCTGTAGAATTCTTGTGTTGGAGTGTTGGGAAAATAAATATTGTTACCTTTAATGGTTTTTCTTAAACCAAGGAAACCTAGCTTAATACTTAGTGACTTTGACTTAGAAATCCAGTGATAAATCTACTGCATTCTTTAAAAAAATATATATTTTTATTGATTTCAGAGAGGAAGGGAGAGAGAAACTTCCATGATGAGAGAGAATCACTGATCAGCTGCCTCCTGCACCCCATACTGGTGAGTGAGCCCGCAACCCAGGCATGTGCCCCAGGCATGTGCAGGAATCAAAGTATGACCTCCTAGTTCATAGGTCCACACTCAACCACTGAACCACGCTGGCTGGGCCCTACTGCATTCTTATTATATAACTCATGTTGGAGAAACACACATTTTTAAAAATAATTTTAAAAAATATATTTTTATTGATTTCAGAGAGGGAAAGGGAGGGATAGAAAAAATGAATGATGAGGAGAATCCTCCATTGGCTGCTTCCTACACACACCCTATGGTATGTGCCCTGACAGGAATCAGACCATGACCTCCTGGTTCATGGGTTGCTCAACCACTGAGCCACACAGGCTGGATGAGAAACACACATTTTTTAGTATTTAATCTTTTTAAAAATTGTTTTAACTTTATTTTTATTGTTGACACTATTACAAATGTCTCCATTCTCCCTCCCCGACCCCTTTGCCCACATCCACCCTGCCACCCCACCTTGTTGACACTATTACAAATGTCTCCATTCTCCCTCCCCGACCCCTTTGCCCACATCCACCCTGCCCCACCCCACCTTCCCTCTGGCCATCACCACACTGTTGTCGGTGTCTATGGGTTACTGTGAGTTATGCATATATGTTTTTTGGCTAATCCCTTCGCCTTCTGACATCCAGTCACCACCCCCTCTCATCTGATGGCTGTCAGTCTGTTCCATATATCCATGCCTCTGTTTCTTTTTTTCATCCCCCCCATAACCATTTATCCTCTCTATACTTCCTCTACCTCCATCCACCTCTTCTCCTCACCGGTACAAACCCTCTCATCTGATGGCTGTCAGTCTGTTCCATATATCAATGCCTCTGTTTCTTTTTTTCATCCCCCCATAACCATTTATCCTCTCTATATTTCCTCTACCTCCATCCACCTCTTCTCCCCCCTCACCCCAGGCAATCACCACACTGTTGTCCAATGTCCATGAGTTCTTTCTTTTTTAGTATTTAATATTTGAAGTATGTAAAATGTGAAAATGACTATACTCTTTGACTAAGAGCTATTCTGTAAAATTTTAATGTAACTAAAGAAGAAAACCAGCAATCTTCATAGATATCTTTTATAGCATGTTATTTGCTAATATGAAACACCGGTACAATACTAAATATCCAACAATTGGGAAATGACTCAATAATCTTACATCATTTTGAACTATTATGCTACTCTTACTTTATAATTAGAAATTATATTTTAAATCCAATGTAGAAAAATGCCAAAAAGAAAAATATAAACATTTGATTATATTTTTAGTTTGCAATTTCTTATTTCTATGATTTGAAACTAGACATGTGACATCTTCTGCACTAAGATGTCTATGTTGTCTTATAATTCACTTTCAATGAGCAAAACAGAACTCAGACTTCAGTTCTTCAACTGGGAGAGCTATTTAGTTTTATTCAGTTTCATTATAAGTCCGCAGGCCGATGCTCTATCCGCTGAGCCAAACCGGTATGGCTAAATATTAATTTTAAAAAGAAACAAGCATCACAATGAACCATGTAAATCATGTAACCATATAAAAGACAGATGAATGTGAACAGCAAAATCATTGGATGTGTACTCATTAAGATGTTAATATTGCTGACTGGTGGACACATAGGTGATTATTTTTTCTCCTTTTACTTTTACATTAAAACTTGTTTTATAATTAATATACTTTTATCATGAGATAAAAGTAAACATTCTTAAAGGAGGTTTGAATGATGCTGGTGACTAGACTGCCTATGTTATAGTGAGAATAGGTAATCATTCAATTTCGCTTCAAAGTCTGGATTTAAGAAGGATGGAATTAAATATATAACTTCATATCCTTATTCTCCTCGGTCATTTAGTGTTTCTTATTAATCAAATTCAGTCTTTGTTGTTTCCCATTCATTATTATGACTTTATCACAATTATGATTTTACGTGCTTAGAGTGGAAAATTAGTTGAGCAGGTTTATGAGATGTTATGAGAAACTTAAAGAGTAGTCAAATGAAACACCTGAAAGTCCTCCCCACTAGCTCCTTCCTGAATTGCGGGTTACAGCAGGCTATGCTGAGGATCCCTCCAGGCTGGCTTTGCAGGACACTGTGGTTGGAAGAAATGGGAAAGATGGTGGGTTAATATAACACAGTAGCTTATACAACTGGAAAAAAAATAACAGGTCTTGAAGGTAGGAAAAACTGATCTGTTTTGGATTTTATTTCTCTTCTAACGTGTCTGTTACACACAGGGGTGGGCAAAAGTAGCTTTACAGCTATTCGTATGGACAATCCAGTAATTAATAAATAATAACACAAGAATAAACTGTGTTTCGCGTACTCACAACTATAAACCTACTTTTGCCCACCCTGTATTTTCTTCTTTTTAAACTTTATCCAATATCTGGAACACAAGCAAGATAGCCTTAAAAGGAGCAGTTAATTATTTCCTTACAAGTCTCTAGGACAGTGGTTCTCAACCTTGGCTGCACATTAGAATCACCTGGGAATCTTTTTAAAATCCTGATTTCTGGGCCTCATCCCCAGGAAATTCTGTTTCTTTGTTACTAATGTTGTGGCCCCACCCCATAACAAAGAAACAGAATTTCCGGAGGATGAAGCCCAGAAATCAGGATTTTAAAAAGATTCCCAGGTGATTCTAATGTGCAGCCAAGGTTGAGAACCACTGCACTAACCCCTATAAAAGTGGCGTTGGCTCAGGTGCTATCATTTAGAAGGCAGAGCCCCTTCTTTCCCCCTACACCCCGTTATCCAGTCATGCTGGAGCTTCACTGTAGGAGGCCTGCCTTTCATCAAGGTAACAGATGGCAGGGCTGGGCAGGCGTATCTGGCAAGAATTATAAGTTCCACTAAGAAGTAATTTAAAAATGGTCCTGAAATTTCTTCAGTTGGGTTCCTGCCTACATGAAGGGCTGATCCTGAAATTAGGAGCTTGTAGGATCAATAAGCTGCATTGCTGGGCTCAGTTCCCTGGTCAGATAGGAATTTATTGAGGATATGGGAAATCTGATTCTTAAGAGAAGATATTTGGACTATGGCAGTGTGTCTCACCAAAAAAGCATGTAATATTCTTCACTGTTGGAGTGACTCATACTGTCTTGTCTTGAGTCACTGCATTTTGCATGAGTTAGCCATAAAAATCTTTTTAGTTCAAATATAACAGCAGCTAGATCTATAGTTTTGTTCTCCCAGCATGCTTTGTTATCCTTCTTCTTCTGGTTTCTACCTCCTGCTCTGCTTTCCCTTTAATTTCTCCCTTTAATTCAGGAGACCTTAGGGCAGGGGTCCTCAAACTACGGCCCGCGGGCCACATGCAAATACAAATATTGTATTTGTTCTCGTTTTGTTTTTTTACTTCAAAATAAGATATGTGCAATGTGCATAGGAATTTGTTCATAGTTTTTTTTTAAACTATAGTCCGGCCCTCCAACGGTCTGAGGGACAGTGAACTGGCCCCCTGTTTAAAAAGTTTGAGGACCCCTGCCTTAGGGGGTATATTCAATTACAAGATCAGTACATGATCCAGTTCTAGCCAGTCTGAGTATGCTGGCTTCCTGGCCATAGTGATTGGTTTAGCAAAAGTCATGTGATCCAAGCAGGACCAAGCAAAGTCTTCCGTGGGAACTTTCAGCTGGGCTAAAATGGAAAACTGCTTTTTAAAAAACTGTTTAAGGTGGGGGTTGGGAGGCTGGGTGTAAAAGGCACAGGGATTAAGAAGTACGAATTGGTAGTTACAAAATAGTTATGAGTTGCAAACTACAGCATAGGAAATATAGTCAGTAATATTGCAATGACTAAGTATGGTGCCAGGTGAGTACTTGATATATTAGGGGATCATGTTATACATTATGTGATTGTCTAACCACTACGCTGTACACCTGAAACTAATATAAAATAATATGAATGTCACCTGTACTTGAAAAATAAAATTTAAAAAAACTTTAAAATTTTTTAAACATTTGCAAAAGCAGTGAGAATTATATGTAAACCCCTTGTACCCAACACCCAGCTTCAACATTTATCAACTCAGGAACAATCTTGAAAAAGGGTAAACTGTCTTTTTCTACTGGGGCTGTTGGACCTAAGAGGACAGTGCTTATAACAGACATGATGTCTGTCAGTAACTGCTGCTCCTGTACTGATTTTGCTTAAGCAAAATGTAGGAGGATTTCTCTCACTTGCAAATGTGTTGTCTAATATAAAAATCTTAACGAAACACTCAGTAAATAATTTTTTAAGCCTTATGCTTACTTTTGAGGTATCTGGGAAACAGAAATTCATGAAAAAATCTTTGAGAGGAATAAGGAGAAGGGGAGCTCTGAGACATATTAAAACAAACAAAATCACCAGCATTTTAACTTCACTTGGCCAAAGGATCATTTCAGTCTTATTGAAATAGCAGCTATCTACTAAAATATTTAAACTATATAACAAAATATTAAGGGGTATAACAAAGGATGGATATTTTCACCCTTAAAAAATTGATCAAGTCCTCAAACCCATCCAGAGTCTGATTCTGAATTACCTTCAAAGCAATGAATGTAAGTCACTCTTACATTAGCATTCTGGTATGCCATTCTTAGGTATGTAATGAACTATACTCCTAGCTGTTCCTTAGGACAATACTTACATTTTTGCTTTGCCAGTTCTTGTCTTAGATCTTCATACACTTGTGAAAAGAGGTCCTCTTTAGATTTTGTTCCATCCAGGTAAACTGAAAAGGGAAAAAGAGACAAGTCAAATGCTAACAGGCTTATTAAGATAGCATGCTTACTTTGGCACCCGATATCTCTTGAAAATACTAGTAGGTTTAACCAAAGAACCCAGGACCATAAAATAAAAATAAATGAATAGCCATTAGAGAGCAAAGTACATTATAGCCAGGAACAACAGGTAAAAATTTTTGGTTAACTACAGAGAAATGCACACTAGTTAATAAGAACATTATTACTTTTTTTTTAATGGAAGAAAAAGAAAGGAAAATAATTAAATGGCATTGTGTATATGGACTGAAGAGGTGCGTCCCTGAAAGAATCATGTAAGAGAGTAGTTATCCCACTTACTGATGCATCAAGATTATCTGTGAAGCTTCTTAAACCATGTAGGGGTCTGGGCTCCCCACATATATACTGAATCAGAATTCTTCAGGCCCAGAAGATATATATATTTCAGAGAGGAAGGGAGAGATAGAAACATCAATGATGAGAGAGAATCATTGATCAGTTGCCTCCTGCATGCCCTCCACTGGGGATTGAGCCCGAAACCCAGATATGTGCTCTGACCAGGAATCAGCTGTGACCTCCTTGTTCATAGGTCAATGCTCAACCACTGAGCCACTCCAGCCAGGCCCAGAAGATACATATTTTTAATAAAACTGGCATAGTAAGTCTTGGAGAAAAAGTAGAAGTTATTTATGTTAAAGGAAGGAAAAGGCCTTCTAGTCAGAAACCTGCAGAGGTAGGAGGTAGGAGAGAATTCTGCCTGTGAATAAGATGCACCGTTAGGAAAACCTAGAATGTGGGGAGGCAGAAACAGTGGAGAGAGGAGGTTTTGGTTCTGGAGCAAGGCTGTGCCTTTGTCTTTAGAGGCCTCGATGTCTGGCTGTGTGGGGGTTTTACCGGAGAGCTGGAGACTATGAAGATATCAAGCAAGGCAGGGACATAGTTAGATTTGCGTTTTAGATGGAGAGGGAGAGAGGAACAGTGAGAAGAGGAAGTGTTGTGGCTAGAACCCCCGCAGTGGCTCTGTGGATGGGGAGAAGGGGTTGAACTTGACTGAAGAGGCCACGGAGCTTTTCCCAATATGGGCAACTCCCTTCATTCTGAAAAGTGTGCATCAGTCCTGCTGCTTCTGCTCCAACCAAGAGCCTTCTCTCTCGGCTTCCTGTAGTTTCTCCGTGTTGAGCCCTGTATTCCAGAGGTCTGTTCTGAGCCTGGGCTCACAGATTCAGATGTTTACCCCCAAATCGCCACTTTATGTCTCTCAGGCATCTTAACTTATGCCAAACAGACTTGCATTCTTACCTTCCAAACCTGCAACTCCTTCACTTTTTTCTCTTTTCCAAAACAGTACCTGCCAGGTTCCAAGGTATTGTCCTCGACACCTTGATTTCCTGGACCCACCCTATCTATACTACCATCCAGTTCTATTGAGCACATATGCCCAATATTGCATCCTCTACACCCACCCTCCACAAAGCCAGAGATATCTTACAAGAATCTGATATCTAACATGTCCTCGTTCAAACCTGTCTGTAGAGGGCTTCCTGCTTTTATTGAGATAATGACCCAAGCCCTTAACTGGCCTATATAGCCTTGTAGGGTTAGGATCTTTCCTGTATTACCAGCAGCACTTCTTGTCCTTGGTTTTCTCTCCACAAATATACCCTCTCCACTTCCGGATGCTGATCATTTCTTCCTGCCCCCTAGCCTTTCTATGTATCACACCCACTGGGGGGATCTTCCATCCCAACACTCTTCCCTTTCTCTAGTTAATCCTGTCAGTTGACATGTGGCTGGATTACTGGGACTTAGGCAGTGCCCTAAGAGCTCGCTGTCACAGTACTCAGCACAGCTGGAAAGGACATGCTCATGTAGCTAGTGTAATGTTTGCTTCAATAGTAGAATGTTGGCTCATAAGAGTATGGGCTGGATCTGCCTTATTTCCCTTGATATATATCACCAGTTCAATATCTGTACATTGAAAACATTCAATCCATATTTATTGAACAAATGACCACCTAGAAGTTGACAAGCTATTCACAAGAGCCATAGAGAGACAAGCAGAAGCCAGGAGAGCCTGTTGTGGAAGACGGGAGCCCCGAGTGCTACAGCTTACAGTTTCCTTTATAATATAACACATACATAAGAAACGTTCCTTCTGAATTTTGTGTACTTTCTGGCAATGACAGGTTAAAGGTCTCCCATGGAGGGAGAAAGGGCACTTACCAATTTCCCACTCAATGTCCTCTATTTCTTGTCTGTGCTTTAGATACATGGGCCACACGTGGCCATCAAAGTACCCTGGGGGGTCTGGAGGTTCATAGACCCTCGTGCTGTCAAAACAGGTAGGAAACTTTGTTGATAGAAACACACATCAATAAAGTAAAATAATAATGGCCAGGATAATAAAAAAAATCACTGAGATCGAATCTAAACAGGATTAAGACTATACATTTTAGACTCAATGCCAGTTACAAAGACAATAAAATGAATTTAGCTTGCTCATCCAAAAATTAATCTTCTAATTCACTATAATTTATATTATCTTTCCCCCCTCAATTTTTTTTATAAAATAATTAAAAGACAAATATCAATGTAAATAATGATGAAATACTGATATGCAGGATTGAGCTTTAAAGTAATTGGTGTTCTTTGTGGCTATAGCAGAATATAGGCCAACTAATTTAAAGTCATAATCAACATGGAATTGTTTCATTTAAAGATTTAGGAGAAATCATCCAAATAGCTGCTACAGGGCCTTTTCTTAGAAAAGTAATTTGTATTTGTTCACATGGATGATTATTTATGGAAAAAGGTTTTCCTTATTATGTAAAGAGCTGAGGCTTCTCTTGTTTGAAAAATGACGTATACATATTGCTCAATAATGTTGCTGTCCTCATTTTTTGTAAATTTTGTCTTTTGAATCAACATCTACAAAGGCAGTTTCGAAACTTACCTCCTCCTCCTCTTACATTCTTCATATGGAATGGTCACAAAGTATCTTCTATTCCATATAGTCTCAAGGGGCCTAAGATAATAGCATATTCAGTTCACAGGGGTTTCCCTCCCATTCATTCCAAGTCAATATCTGAGTGAGGATGCTTACTTATAATTAAAGAGAAGGAAACCTTCGATGATTAATACGGGAACGTCCTCAGTGTTTCTCTCTGTTGATACTGGAGAGTGTCTCGGGCTTTGCATCCAGCAAGAAATGGTGGACATCATTTTTTCCATGTTAAGCGCTTCAAGCACTTCAAACAACATACAAAAATGAGAAACCAGTACCAAAAAGTGTTATGATGAGGATATGAGTATATTCCGGGCTTGCTAAATATATTAAACATACTATTTACCCTTCAAAAAAACCCATTAACAAATCTTTTAGATACTTTTAAACTCTAATATTGATAGATGGGTATGTTTGAAACATTTTTATTATGGGACATTTGATACCTATACAAAAGTAGAGAGTGAAGTACAATGAACTTCCATGTCCTCATGAGCAGCTTTGACAATCATAAACTCATGGCGAATCTTGCTTTATTTATAATTTCTACTACCCCCTGACTACATGAAAGTCTAACATTTTTGGATGAAAAAATATCTACAAATTAGTTTGAAAGATATATGACATTCTGAGGAAAATATCTACATTGTGTTTGTTAAAGAATGAATATTTTCAATATATAAAGAGCTCTTACAGATAAACAAGAGGAAAACCATGAAAACTTTTACAAAGAACACAAATATGTCATTTTCAAACTCTAACATGAGCTTCCTGTGGTTCTGGGTGATGTCTGTTCCGTCTTTTAGTTGTATTTTTGAAGTGGTTGTTTGCGGCAGCAGTCTCCGGTGTTTACCTATGCCGCCATCTTGGTCTCTCTCCCTTTTAGATACTTTTAAACTCTAATATTGATAGATGGGTATGTTTGAAACATTTTTATTATGGGACATTTGATACCTATACAAAAGTAGAGAGTGAAGTACAATGAACTTCCATGTCCTCATGAGCAGCTTTGACAATCATAAACTCATGGCGAATCTTGCTTTATTTATAATTTCTACTACCCCCTGACTACATGAAAGTCTAACATTTTTGGATGAAAAAATATCTACAAATTAGTTTGAAAGATATATGACATTCTGAGGAAAATATCTACATTGTGTTTGTTAAAGAATGAATATTTTCAATATATAAAGAGCTCTTACAGATAAACAAGAGGAAAACCATGAAAACTTTTACAAAGAACACAAATATGTCATTTTCAAACTCTAACATGAGCATACTTTTCGGGCTGACAGTTATAAAATGATTCTGAAAGTGTGGTACCTTGGCCAGCAGCCTCAGCATGACCTGGGAATTTATGAGGAAGGCGAATTCTGAGTCTCACTCCAGAAGTACTGAATTGGGTCATCTGGGCTTAGAGGTTTTTATTAATTAATCCTTAATTTATTTAATAGATATAGGGCTACTAAGATTTTCTATTTGTTCTTGTGTTAGTCTTGGTAAGTTACATTTTTCTGGGAAATAGTAAATTTTATTTGTTTTCTAATGTATTCACATAATACATTAGATATAATGTATTAATACATTAGATACATTGTTTATAATACCCTCTTATCCTTTTAATGTAGGTAGCATCTGTAATGATATTACTTTTTTGTTTTTGGTATTTGTAATTTGTGCCTTTCCTGTTTTTTTGTTGTTGTTATTGTTGTGCTGTTTTTTATTTTTAATCCTAACCCGAGAATATTTTTCCATTGATTTTTAGAGAGAGTGGAAGAGAGAGGGAAAAGACAGAGAGAAATATCCATATGAGCCACAACGATTGGTAGCCTCCTGCACTTGCCCCATCAGGGCCCAGACTGGTACGTGCCCTTGGCCAGAATCAAGCATACTTTCCGTCCTTTGGGACCCTTCAGTCTGCAGGCTGACGCTCTATCCACTGAGTCAAAACGGCTAGAGCTTTTTTTTTCCCCTTGAACAGTGTTGTATAACCTGTTTGGTAATCACTCAGATTCTTGCATATGTAGATTTATGCCCTATGCCAAATTTGAGATGTTTTACACCATTACTTTTGTTTTACTTAAATTTTTTTAAAAAAATTTTTGAGAGAGAGAGAGAGAGAGAGAGAGAGAGAGAGAGAGACATCAATTTGTTGTTCATGCATTCATTGGTTGCTTCTTCCCGACTAGAGATTGAACCTGCAACCTTGGCATATCGGGATAATGCTCTAACCAATTAAGCTACCCGACCAGGGCGCTTCATATACTTTTGCAGCACCACACTCTTTCTCCTCTCCTTCTTAGACTCCAATAATATGTTAGATCTTTTGTTATTGTCCATATTTCTGTTAATTTCTTTTCAGTCTGTTTTCTCTCCGTTGTTCAGATTGAATAATTTCTATTGTTTTGTTTCGTAGTTCACGGATTCTTTCCTCTATCGTATTTATTCTGTTGAGCTGATCCAGTGAGTTTTAAAATTTCAGTTATTATTTGTTTTCAGTTCTAAACTTTCAATTTGGCTCTTTTTTACATCTTGCATTTCTTTACTGAGGCTTTCTAAGTTTTCACTTGACGCAAGAATGTTCACAATTGCTCGCTGAAGCCTTTTATTTTTATTTTATTTTTCGCTGAAGCCTTTTAATAAACACTGCTTTAAAACACTTTGTCAGGTAATTCCAACATCTGTGTCAACATGGAGAGGGAAGTTGGTGTCTGTGGACTGCCTTTTCTCACTCAAGTTGAGAATTGCCTGGTTTTCAATATGACAAGTGATATTCAGTCTTGTTCTGAAATGTTGGATATTATGTTGCAAGGTTCTTAAGCCTATTTCTTCTTCTTTTTTTGCAGGTAGTCACCTGTTTGGGTGTAGACTGCCCAGATGAGGGGATGTTTGGCTCCTGGCTGGGCCTCACTGATACTTAGCTCGGGAGGGATTGTCATGAAGGGAGAAAGGGCAAGTGCTGGTGTGGCTTCATTGCTGCTCAGCAAAGGGTCAAGTTCAGCTCTCCACTGAGTTCTGCTGATAGAAGCTGACTATCTGGGCGAAAAAAGTGTGGAGTACAACTAGCAACACCTCACACTACCTCATCCTGCCTCTTTGCTGCTGGGCGGGGGTGGAAGTTCAGTCACCGTTTTGCTCCACTGATATGATCCCTATGGATGACATGGAGGGCCACCTCACCCCACCTTACTAGTGCGATGGGTTCAGAAGTCTTGCTCCCCACTTGGCCCTGCTAACATCATGAGGGGAAAGTGATTTGTTTTTTTCCCCCCTTTGGCTTGAGTAGGGTGGATATTGTGAAAATGATTTTCTATTCTGCTGGGACATCCTTTTCTGGTCCTTTGACTAGGGAATAGGTTTCCTGGTTTGTTTGTTGTCTGTATCTGTTGATTGTTCCATGTTGCACACTTCTCCAGCACCCCTTCTTGAATACATAAGAGGAAAAAAGAAATCTCTGGTAACTCACAGCCATGTTATTCCTCAAGGCCTGAAGTCCCTAGTCAGTCTGCTCTCTTCCTTTCATCTTTCAGAGTCTTTCCTTTGTTTGCTGTATTTCATCCAGGGTTTTTAGTAAGAGGAAGAAATAGTTAGGAATGGGGCCAATCCATTTTGGCTGGAACCAGAAATACCGTTAGCATTAATATATTTTCATTATTACTCAATTAAAAATCTTTTCTAATTTTCATTATGATTTATTCTTTAAGTCATGGGCTATAAAAATGTTTTGCTTCAGATAAAATGGATGATGTCTGGGATTTGCTCCAAAATAATATAGGAGAAAGTGAGTGAGGGTCTAGATAAAATTGGCCAAGAGTTCATTATTTTTAAAAGCTGGATGTTGAACTCATGAGAGTTCATTATACTTTCTTGCCTACTTTTTTTTAAATTATATTTTTATTGATTTCAGAGAGGAAGGAAGAAGGAGAGAAAGATAGAAACATCAATGATGAGAGAGAATCATTGATTAGCTGCCTCCTAAAAGCCCCCCATGGAGGATCGAGCCCACAACCTGGGCATGTGCCCTTGACTGGAATCGAATCTGGGACCTTTCAGTTCGCAGGCCAATGCTCTATCCACTGAGCCAAACCGGCTAGGGCTTGCCTACTTTTGTATATGTTTACAATTTTCCCTTATTAGGAAAAGTTTTTACTGAGGCAAGGATATATGGAACAGACTGACAACTGTCAGATAGGAGGGGGATGGGGGAAACTGGATGAAAGAAGGTGAAGGGATTAGCCAAAGAACATATATGCATAACTCACAGACACAGATAACTGTGGTGATGGCCAGAGGGAAGGGGGTGGGAGCTGGGTGGAGGTGGGCAAAGGGGGGGGAATGGGGACATCTATAATAGTGTCAACAATAAAAATAAAGTTTTTAAAAATATATATATATATTTTATTGATTTTTTACAGAGAGGAATAGAGTTAGAAACATCAATGAGAGAGAAACATAGATCAGCTGCTTCCTGCACACATCCTACTGGGGATGTGCCCACAACCAAGGTACATGCCCTTGACCGGAATCTAACCTGGGACCTTTCAGTCCGCAGGCCGATGCTCTATTCACTGAGCCAAACCGATTAGGGCTAAAGTTAAAGTTTTTAAAAATCAGAAAAAAAGGGGTACTGATTATTTTGCAAACACTTGGGATTTTACTTCCTCTTTAGTTATTGATTTCTAATTTCTAATTCAATGCTCTATGATTGGAGGATGTCCCTGTACCTTTGAGGTTGACTTTTTATTGTGCATTATCAATAACCTTTTCCTTCTGTCAATAGCTTATTCACATCCTTGGGCATTTTTTTTTCAATTGGGATATAAGTGTTTGTCATATTAGTTTGTAAGGACTCATTTAAATTAGGAATAATCCTTCATCAATTGTTGAAAACAATGTTTCCTTGTTTAACTCTTACTTTGTATAATCTTCCTTACTAACCTTTAGAAGAAGGGAAGAGAAGAAAAAAATATCTTGACTGTAGCTCAAGACACATGAACAGACAGCAACTCAAGGACTTTGCCTCTCTTAAAACTATCATGTGTCTGTAAGAACTGACTACACAACATTTTACCTCCAAGGTTATCAAAGTTAAAAAATAAAGAACATATTTTATGGCTCCTCAAGATAATTTCCTTGGTTGCTAGTTTGGATAAGCTCTCAATGATTATCTTGTTAATTATAAAAGTTGATAATACCATTAAATATAGTTTATTAGCATGACATTTGTTTTTTCATTGATTTTTAGGGAGAGTGGAACAGAGAGGGAAAGACAGAGAGAGAAACATCAATGTGAGAGAAACACATCAATTGGTTGCCTCCTGTATGAGCCCTGACCAGGAGCTTGCAACCAACGTACGTGCCCTTGACTGGAATCAAACCAGGGACCCTTTGGTCCGCAGGCCGATGCTCTATCCGCTGAGCCAAACCGGCAGGGTATAGCACAGTGATGGCGAACCTTTTGAGCTTGGCGTGTCAGCATTTTGAAAAACCCTAACTTAACTCTGGTGCCGTGTCACATATAGAAATTCTTTGATATTTGCAACTATAGTAAAAGAAAACAAAAACTTATGTTTTTGATATTTATTTTATATATTTAAATGCCATTTAACAAAGAAAAATCAACCAAAAAAATGAGTTTGCGTGTCACCTCTGACACGCGTGTCATAGGTTCACCATCACTGATATAGCATGACATTCTTTATAGGAAAATACACTTTTACTCATGGACTTTAATCCTTTGGCTTCAAAGCAGTGTTAGATTGGGTAGAGGAGTGAGGTGAATCCATCTAAAATATATTCATTATGGTTTTTGATCAATGAAAAGAAAAAAAATCAACTGTTCAGACCACCATGGTCACTGGAGAGGAAAGCTCAGAAGATGAGTGCTTTAAGTTTGCCCCAGGTAAGACTGAGGGTAGGGAAGGGAAGTAGTTATATTCCCCAGGCACGGATGACTGGAGTACCCACCTTGCCCTAGCTGCAGAAGAAAAAAATCTATATCATTCCAAAGTTTTCAGTTTTAAATATAGAACTGGGGAAAATATTTCATTTTTAAAAATAGTTGAACAGCCTGGCCGGTGTGGCTCAGTGGTTGAACATCGACATATGAACCAGGAGATCACAGTTCGATTCTCGGTTAGGGCACATACCCGGTTGTGGGCTCGATCCCCAGTAGGGGGCATGCAGGAAGCAGCCGATCAATTATTTTCTCTCATCACTGATGTTCTATCTCTCTCTCCCTTCCTCTCTGAAATCAAGAAAAATATGTATGTATATATAAATAAATAAAAATAGCTGAACATAAGTCAGAAACCTTTACAAAAGCACATTCAAAATACAGTAATATGTATTTAAACACACTTTGAGAATGTCTTCATAGTTAGCACCATATTTGGGTTTGAAAAAGAAAATGAACATTAGGGTGTAATATTTTCACAAGCTCATCTACTTACCATCGTACTGCAGAAATCCATTTTTATCTGTCTCTATCTCAGACGGTGGCTGAAAAAATAATAAAGTACCCATAAAAACTGTGCAATGCAGAAATAATACAATTATACAATGAAAAGGCGATAAATCTTTAATAAATGCATTGAATGAGGATAAATAAAATCAAAGAACAGCCGCGATAGTGGTGCCATCTAGTGGATAAGTAACACTATTGCATTGACTCTACCTTCACTACAAAAGCTCTATCACTCAAAAAAGGCTTTTTGGATGTAATACAATCAACTTTGCTACTAGAACTTCTTTTGTGTTAAATAAATTATCTAAGAAGTTTTAAAGATACCTTAAAGAAATCATCCTGAGATATGATACTGCAGTTTGGGAGATGTTTTTGCAATTTTTTAGCCAGTGTTGTCTTCCCACCATTTGTCACACTGAACCAAAAGAAAAGAGAAAGAAACGTCGTAAAAATACTGAAAGTACCAAGAAGAAAGTTACATTAAAAAACATAAAACATTAAAAATATCTTAGAAAAAGAACATTTAAAACAATATCTAATATCTAAGAAAAATTATTTCTTTCATAGATAATGTTTTTCTGTAGAGAAAACCAAGGCATAAGTAGACGGTGCAATAAATTATAAGAAAGAAGCTGGGGCGTGGCCAGTGCTGCTCAGTGGTTAAGCATCAACCTATGAACCAGAAGGTCACGGTTTGATTCCCCGTCAGGGCACATGCCCAGGATGTGGGCTTGATCCCCAGTAGGAGGCATGCAGGAGGCAGCCGATCAATGGTTCTCCCTCATTATTGATATTTCTATCTCTCTCTCCCTTTCCTCTCTGAAATCAATAAAAATATATTCTCAAAAAAAGAAATAAGCTGGGAAGGATTGAGGAGAAAGGTAACTAACTACTGGGCAAGTGAACTGGGTAATACCAAGACTAAATACAGCTATTGTGTTGGAAACAAAAGAATTTTTTTTGTCTATAGTGAAACATTCACAGGGTTTATATGCAACACAGAATATGAGCAGTACATTTTAATGCAAATATATAATACTGCATTTGGTCATCGAGATTCTTTTTCAATGCACAGTGGAGAAAAATGGAGGAGTGGCTTAGTATAAGCCCACCTATCATGAATTCACCTCTCCCTCTGCAATGTCTCCTTTTCCCCTGATCGCTTTCCACTTTGGGGACAGGTGGGAGGTCCATTTTAGCTGATCACACCAGCCAAGAGAGGTGGTTCCATATTCCATATGTCCAAAGCTGGGCGTAACAGAAAAGAAATGATAGCTTCTCTCCAACGTCACACTGAGGGAGCAGCCATCTGGAGAATGAAATCGTCCTGGACCTAAATAGCATCTGCTCAGGCCTTGCCTTTGGTATAGAAAATAAATGATAAAGTAGCTTATTGACTCTCCTGTTTTTCTGTTTACAAGGAAACTCTCCCACCTCCTGTTGGCATTTATGCAGCCAGGGCTCCATTTTACATTTGATACTGGCCTGTTCTCCAGGACTCGGGAATCCTCACTGCTTCTCCTTCCCCCATCACGTCCACATGAAAACACCCTTTGGGCATCCTGAGTGTCTTGACCAGCTGTGTGTAGCAAAATTACTCACCCACCAATCCCAATGACAAATGTTTTCATGATTAGCTTTGAAAATGTCTTCTGAAATTTCCTGAAATAAAAAAAAATTGAATGCTTATCATTTAGATGTCTGAAGAGGTAAAAGAAAGAGTCCTACTCTGGGAGGGCCAGCTGAGGGGGAAAGATGGCACAGCCCTGGACTATCCACATTCTGTGGAGGAGCTTCACACGGTACAGGCACACCCTGGAGATACTGTGGGTTCAGTTCCAGACCACCCTGTAATAAAGGTAGTCATAATCTTTTTGCTGGTGGAGGGTCTTGACTTCAATTTGTAAAAAAAACACACGCAACGTCCGTAAAGCACGGTAAAACGAGGTACGCCTGTGCTGGCTTCTCTCGGCCACACTCTCCTGCTAACTGCCCACAGATGGTGCGTGCTCAGCGCCTGTGTGCCCAAGTCAAGGGAGCTGAAAGGGTCCGTGACAAAGCGGATACCCTTGAAGGTGTGTTTTCAAGGCTGTGGAAGAGCTGCGAGGTTGCAGAGCACCCTACAATTTTATACCCGGCCCCTCAGCCAGGTCGCCTTTTACCTGCTGGATTCAATCACTTGGACATGATCCATTTTCCCCACGGAGGGAACCACAGAGCTTCTCTCTGTCTCTCTCTTTCCCCTCTCCACCCTCTGCGTTAAGGGCACTATTTCCCCACCCAAAAGCCTTGGTCTGAGGCTAGGGTAGATAATTTTTTTTTTTTCAGAAATGGGACAGGCAGTAAATGTTAGAGGCTTTGTGGGTAAAGAGGCAAAATCCAGGTTATTATGTAGGTATTTATATGAGAGAGAAAACAAATTTCCACTATGTTTTGGATAACAGTCGAGACATAATAATAATCGAGTACAACTGTTTTTGGGTAATACATGTCTACTAATGAGAAGAATGGAATTTATTTATTTATTTATTTGTTTGTTTATTTTTTAGGTAACACTTCCCTTACTGGATTTGCAAGTCTGTGCTCCCTATCAGAAAATTGATGGCAAATGTTGAAGCAGAGGGCCAGGTTTTAGGCACAAGACCCTGGTCTGTTGACCCCCCTGGTCTAGGGGCTGGAGGGCAGTTTCACACATGGCCATCTAAGGTTCATCACAGCAGTCCCTCCCATGGGCCAGTTTCACCTTTTTACGTGAAAAGGGAAAGGTCAGTGGAGGGAGCCTTAGAAAGCTGCTCTTTATCCCTGACTGCTTCGCTTGGCTGATCAGGAATCTAAGCTGTGCTGTTCCTGGGGAGTGGCCCCTGAGCTGGGGGTTCCCAGCAGCCTCCCCGGTTCCTATCTCTGACCTGTGTCCAGACGTCCCCTGGGGAGAGGTGGTGGGGAGAAGAGCCTGGTGCAGAGGGGCGGTTGTTCTTTGGCGTCTGCTCAGTTTACCCAGAATATTCCAAACTGAGAGCAATAGCTTAAGGTTCGGTCCCACTTTCATTAACATGTCTATGTGAGACAAGAATTCAATAATGACTATGCTAAAAATACAATAACAGAACACGTTGGATATCTGAGTTTCACCAGGAGTTGCATTATTGAATATATATCCCACCCAAATTGACCAAGCATGTCAAGGGACCAATTACAGACAATGAGTACCGTAAATTTTTATGCTGTAATTGTCTACGTAAGAAACGTCCAAATCTGTAGACTTTTTTTTTTTTATGAGTTCATTTGAGCCAAACTGACAATTGCTGGGAAGCTAAATCTCAACGGATTGAAAAAATGCTCTGGAGAATGGTAGTTTTGCTGCTTACTTTATACATTAAAAACAAAGGAAGAGACAGAAGGGGGGTTACATGAAATTCATTGGTGATAGGGAGGTGGGATAAAGCAAAACGGGAAATCCCTGAGATTGGATAAAGAACAAAACAGAGAGACACTTCTTTTACACTGGTGGGTACCGGAGAGTTAACAATGAACATTCACAGCACACAGGGATGGTATTTGGGGAACAAGATAACAGTGAGGGGTGGTGTGGTCCCATGCCCTGGTGTGAGGTTATACTCTGTGGGGTCTGGAAAAAGGAGATTACACTGACATTCCAAGGGTTTGTTATCTTAGATGCAAAAAGACAACAGACAGATTTACTTAAGGTAAAAACCGAACCTTTGTCAAGGAAGGTCCAGGCCCGGGATGTGACACCTGCCATGACTAGCTTTGAGGCAGGAATATTTATGTTCTGACCATCCTGTATGGTTCCTTTCAGTCTCTGTGTGTAAGGCCCACCACACAGGCCTCCCTTGAGCTGGTCAGGTTTAGTATGTGGCCCCTTTTTTTGCCCACATAATTTTTCTTTTGGGTTTAATTTTACCCTATTCTTATTTTTAATATGTCAGTGCAAGGGTGGCAACTATTTTTTTGTGGGGGGAGGGGGTAGAGAAGGCTGCCCTTTATCTTGAGAGGGTACCTTTCCTACTTTTTTGTTGATAAATGTCCTTTCTCGTGTGAAAGGATGGCTTAGGGCAGTGGTTGGCAAACTGTGGCTTGCAAGCCACATCCGGCTCTTTGGCCCCTTGAGTGTGGCTCTTCCACAAAATACCACGTGCGGGCGCGCACGTACAGTGCAATTGAAACTTCGTGGCCCATGCGCAGAAGTTGGTATTTTCTGGAAGAGCCACACTCAAGGGGCCAAAGAGCCGCATGTGGCTCACGAGCCGCAGTTTGCCGACCACTGGCTTAGGGAGTTCACTTAGCCCACCCCTTCATTTTATAGTTGAAACTGGCCCAGAAAATGCAGTGACTTGCCCAAGGTAACACAGCTAGTATGTTTTGGAAAAGTGAGAAACAAAACTAGACCTCTTTCCAAGCTGCTAAAAAGCACTTTATTACCAAGAGCAAAGAAAAAATGGTGCACATGCACTGGCTTGTGAGGCTCATGTATAATTAATGTCCTTTTTCTTGATGTATTATTGATGGGTGTATATTTTCTCTGCACACTACATGGCAAGGACTACTGGTCCCCTGTGCTTCTTGCCACATTTGTGCATACACATTAGGTTACTGTATCAATTACATAGCATGTAAGTAACGAGTGTGGTTGTGGCCCTGGAAACAGGCTTGAGGGGATTATTTGGGCGGAAACTCTAGCAATTCAGAAACTAGGAGTGAGAGAGAGTCAAGAACCTATTATAAATTCTCTTGGGCTCAGGAGGGAACTCCCCTAGTCCAACGCAAGTTTTTACCAAAACAGGAACCCTCGGTTCTATATTAGTTAGTAGTCTTAGCCTGTCCAAGTCAGTGCTTGGGCAAATGTTGGGTACAGTCCATTAGCAACGAACTGATGACAATGTGGTGGGAAGGGTGGGGAACTGGAAGCAGCAGAAGCAAGACCTCTGGCTGGGATGAGTAGCTGGGGTGGTAGGGGTGTAGAAATCCCAGAAGCCATTTATTTCAGACAGTGTTGGATGCACAGGGCAGCTTCTGGTGATTTCTAAGTTCAGGCCTGGCACTGTCCACCTCAACACCAGGTTCTGTTATTTCACTGCCTGTAGCCCTCTTTAAGAACTATTTTAAAATCACATTTCAAAAGCTTTTAATCAAGAGTTGCCAGTCTCTAAATACTGTATGTATACACAGCAGCAGCCTCCATGAAGCAAACAAATTTGATCAACTACACACTGTTAATCACTGAATGTCTCCAGAGAGACAACCATTTGGACTTTCCAGCCTCATCAATGCAGGGCATCCAATTACTAGGAATATAAGCACCCCCAATCTCATGGGATATTAACGTGCTTTATTCTCCCAATAAGTGCAAAGCTTTCCTCAGCAGCACAGAGCATTTGCATAGGGGTAGGAGAAGCGACTAAGATATCCATGAGCAAACCCAAAATAAGTAATTTTAACTACTTTCTTTTACCTAAGTAAAATATATTGTTGAGTCTTTTTTTTTTTCATAGCTGGTGCTTATAATATTTCATTTATTTCACTACTCAAGTTAGTACATTTTGGATTCCAAACTGCAAAATAGAGGTGGCATGTGCAGAATCAGCAAATAATATGAAAATAGCAACTCCCTAACACAAACTGTTTGACAGACCAATGAGAATATGCTAACGAAGTGTTCTGCTTTTCCACGTATTGAAAAGAGCAATTTGGCTAAAGTTTCTGAATATGCAAATGATTTCCCTTTCCCTTGGAATCACTCTATCTTTCACTAACCCCTGGTGTAAGTTTCGAAACTTCATTTTACATAGAGTCTCATGTAGAAAGCTTCTCTTTCTTTTCCATTTTTCTTTCCCCAAATACACAGTTGGTGTATAATACTGACTGTGCTATTTCGAACTTATAAACGCTGCATTTCGTGTGTGCTCCAGCCCTTGCTCCCACTGGCGATTCAATTTGCTAGGTGACGGGGTGGGCAAACTTTTGCAAAGTGCTAGCTAGAGAGAGAATGTTTCCGACTTTGCGCGCAGCTCTTATGAAGTGAGAACGGCCACAGACGATACATAAGCAACTGAGCGTGGCTGTGTTCCTAACACTTTCTGGACATTGGAATGTGAATGTTATATAATTTTCACGTGTCACAAAATATTCTTGTGACCTCTTTCCAGCCATATAAAAATGTAAAAACCGTTCTTGGTTAGCAGGCCCTATGATAACAGGAGGCAGGGGGCGGTAGAGTTAGTCAACCCCAATGCCGGAGGATACAAGACCTCCCCCGTGGGGATCAGGACCTGGTCTTGTCCCGGGTGACTCCCCCCACAATCTGGACGATCTGTGGGAGGCAGACTCCCATTTTAAGGATTATTGCGGGGCGTTAAAGCACTAAGTCAGCACGAGTACACGTGGCAGGCTACGTATGGGCCCGTCGAGGGGGTCAGAGGCCCAACGGGACTTGCAAGACGCATCTAGGTTCGGGCTCCAGCAGAGGAAACACTCTGGAAACACTTCTAGGCCCCACGGGGCGAGTCTGCGCGGCGCGGCGGGGTCAGGCAGGTACTCACCCGGACTTTCTAGTCCTCCCCGGCAACGCGGCAGAGGCGATGGCCCGGCGCGCCGGTCACTAACCCTCCGCAAGCCCACAGCTCGCTCACCCAGAGGCCCAGGCCCTTGCCCTTGCCCCTGCGCTCCTCCCACTGCGCCCCTCCCGGG